TACTTACATTTTTAATTTATTTCCAGTCTTGCCTGCAGTTCAGCCGAAATGTTGAATTTTTGTCACGTGTCGGTTTCTCTCACGAGTCACTCGTGGCTTCTTTGTTGGGCCAAGACATGTAGAATGAAGTGACTTTGATGAAACACTACGATTTTAAGCTAATCTTACACGTCCACAGGGACATTTTTAGATGCAAAGGATCACACCGCTCATCAGCATTGGATGCCAGTTCTGCAAACATCGGCTGCACCTGAAGCCTTCACTTGTCGTAGACCACCTGCTCCCGCTTTTCAAATCAAACCAATCAAATCAAAAATTTCACTCATATTGTGAAAACTGTTCACCGAAATGTGTTTCTGAAAACATTTGAGGTGAGAAATTAGCCAAGCAGTCGCTCAAGCTGTCTTCGTTTTATATTAACAACAGTTAGTTTAAAAGTTTTCCGGAACTTTCCAGAGATATTGAGTGCTGGCCAGATTCCCCCGATTTGCATAAAGTAGCCGAGACCTCAACTTTATGCAAATGAGGAGCGGGCGACGTGACGCTTTATCTCTCAAAACAACAATTCTCTCTGTTTTGATAGTTTTTGGCTTTGGTAAATGGTGCCATTTTGAGTTTTTTTTTAACAACAACATGCTGTCCAAAACTGCTGGAGTTCAGAGAGTAATAAAAGTAATTGTTAGTTGTGGCTGTATAAAGAATATTTCATCATCGTGAATTACTAAAATGATAAGTTTTGTCTGTAGGTAACCACCAATTCAGGGACAAAATGTTTTGCCTGCCGTTCAGCTTCAGAAAGAGACAAATGGATTGAAAATCTGCAACGAGCTGTCAAGCCCAACAAGGTAAATTCAGCACAACAGATCTCAACACTCCAGATACCGAAACCGATCAACAGTGCGTGCAACCGAACCACTGCTGACTCGTCATTTCACACATCCAACTGGTGAAGGCTGTAACATTAAGGACAGTTATAATGCAGTAACAGAACTCCTCGTTTCACTTTAAGGATAACAGCAGACGGGTGGACAACGTGCTCAAGTTGTGGATCATCGAAGCTCGAGACCTTCCAGCTAAGAAACGCTACTATTGTGAACTGTGTCTGGACGACATGCTGTACGCGCGCACCACCAGCAAACCCCGGACCGACACCGTCTTCTGGGGCGAGCATTTTGAGTTTAACAATTTGCCTACCATTCGTAGCCTTCGTTTGCACCTCTACAAGGAAACGGACAAAAAAAGACGCAAGGTAAAGAAAGTGTCTCAGTCGTCTATATGGATTCTGTGTTTCCGGTTAGAGAACTTTTTTTTTTAAAACATCTATCTTTCTTAATGTGTATTTTTTCCCCCCCCACAATCTAGGAAAAAAGCACATACCTTGGCCTTGTCAGCATCCCCATATCCAGCATCACGGGCCGGCAGTTTGTCGAGCAGTGGTACCCGGTCATACAGTCCAGTGTTCTGGCCAAAAGCGGCGGTGTCGGAAGTGCCAAAGTGATCAACGCCTCGCTACGCGTCAAGTCTCGCTACCAGACAATGAACATCCTCCCAATGGAGCTGTACAAGGAGTTTGCCGAGTACATTACCAACAACTACCGAACACTGTGTGCAGTCCTGGAGCCGCTGTTGAGCGTTAAAAGCAAAGAGGAGGTGGCGTTTGCTCTGGTGCACATCCTTCAAAGCACGGGGAAGACGAAGGTACACGAAGGGTCGAATGTATCCGATGGCACGTTGTTATGCCCTGAATAGATTCTCTACTATATATGAGTTTTTTTTTTTTTTTACTGAGGTAAATTTACAGAAAAAAAAAGTCATTTCCTTTGCGTGTGCTCCACTGAACTGCAACACAATCTCTTCTCAGGAGTTCCTGTCAGACATGGCCATGTGTGAGGTGGATCGATTCATGGACCGTGAGCACTTGATCTTTCGGGAGAACACGCTCGCTACAAAGGCTGTGGAGGAGTACCTCAAACTGATAGGTCACAGATACCTCAAGGATGCTATAGGTAAGGCTGCACATCACCGCCTCGGATGTAGCGAGGCTAACTTCTATCACGAACAGCATCTGCCACTTAGCGAAAATGATTATGACATTGTTGGCTGCTGGAGCTCGTTTGATCCACGTTTGAGGTGACATTTTCTCTACGTGCTCTAATTGGTGATGGCAGGATTTTAGACAAACTGGCATCTAAGAAGAATAATCTAGAAATCACATTAGCAAGTAGGAATGATGTTTTAACAGCATTTATATGCCAACTTAAATGCCTTTTTTTTCTCACAGTGAAAACAAACCGATCAGTAGAGGGCTGTGTGGAGGAAAGTTCCGACTTAATTAGCAGATTTGAGGTTTTTCTTCATGCAAACCAGCCGTAATCAGATACACTTGATACCGACATACCAACTGATTTCCATGTTCCATTAGAAACGTGTCCCATTTGGAGTTTTCTTGTAAACAAACAAAAGTGATGTTTTTTTGCGTATCCGAATTTTGCCGTGTCCCACATTGCAGTCTTCTTCGTTTCACTTGTGCGGGGATCTTTCTTATTTGCTCATTACCAGTCGCTGATAAGCAGAAAAAAACATGCAAAATCATGCTCAGCGGTGCATCGAGCGTGTGCATGCATGAGCATACGTGTGAGCGCAATACGAGTGTTTGTTGCGCACCTTTCTGTAAAAATCCTGCATAATATCCGATTATGTTTTCAAACTGCAGGCTTTTTAAAAAGTTTTTTTGAAATAGTGTTTGTCCCCCTTGTGCCGCAAAAACAGCTCTGACCTCTTAAGTTTTGGACTTAGCAAGACCTCTAAAAGTGTGCTGTAGCATCAGGGACTGATGCTCAGTGAGATTTGGGGAATTTAGAGTCCAACAAACTCTCTGTCATTCCTGAACAGTGTTTGTAGAGTGGCAGACAGCACTATCCTGCTGAAAGAGGCCACAGTGAACACATACTTTTGAAGTTTCCACAATGTGGTCTGCAGCAATATTTAGGCAGGTGTCAAAGTTAACATCCACATGAATGCCAGGACCCAGTGCTTCCGAGCTGAACTTTGTCCAGAGCATCACACGTCCTCTGCCAGCTCGCCTTCCTCCCATAGTGCATCCTGCTGCCGTCCCTCGCTCTGGTAAACGATGCGCACACCCCTCCTGCCCTCCGCCTCCTATATATGCTCAGTGATCCAGCTCTGATGCTTACATGCCCATTGGAGGCACTTTAGGGGACAAACAGCAGTCAGCATGTTCGCTTTGACCGGCCTCCAGCTACACTGTGTGCTCTAACACTTTTCGATCATTAGGTTTTTCTGAAACAGCGTCTCTTCTGTGGGGTCAGACCAGACAGATCAGCCTTTATTCCCTGCATGCATCAGCGAGCCTTGTTCTCTCATGACCCCGTTGCCAGTTTATCGGTCGTCCTTCCTTGTGGTGTATACTGTCCTCTCCAACGCTCCACAAGACCTGCTGTTCTGGAGACGCTCTGACCGCAGTCGTCTAGCATCCAGCCATCGCAATCTGGCACCTGTCACTCAGATCTTTCACTCTGCCCGTTTTTCCAACACATCAACTTCAAGAACTGACTGTTCACTTTCCGTCTAATACATCCCACCCACTGACAGGTGCCTTTGTAACGAGATGATTAATGTTCTTCACTTTACCTGTCAGTTGTTTTAATGTTGTGGCCGATCGGTGTACATGTGTCCTCGTTGAACATTTGCTCAGAGACATTTGCGTTTTTCGGAAACGCAGTGACGGTGTGATGTGCATCTTTCAGGTGACTTTATTCGAGCCTTATACGAGTCTGAGGAGAACTGCGAGGTGGATCCCATGCGTGTCCCGCCGTCAGTCCTCGCCGATCATCAGGCCAACCTCCGCATGTGCTGCGAGCTCTTGCTCTGCAAGATTATCAACTCTCTCTGGTCAGTTTTTGCACCTTCAGAACACTATGTATGCAACTGTTCTGCGTGCATGTTCACCGGCGCCACGTGGATCCTAAACAGGAATTTAACTTTCTGTCTGTACTCAATGTTGTCGATGTGAGTTAGTTGAATGTGGGGTCAGCCAGCGATTTGAAACTGGAAATACAGTCGTGACTCGATAATCTAACCCTTAACAATCCGAAAACCTTGCTATCTGACAGGTTTTTAGGAAAAACGAACAGAACCCATTAAAAACAGCCTTAACATACCAACAGCCTTGGATTCTGACTCCGATGGGACATTTTATGTCACCAATCAGGATCACGGCGTATTATCTGACTGAACAATCCCACAGATTGGCTACGTTCACACTGCAGGACTTGATGCTCAATGAGGATTTTTTTGTGAAATCCGATTTTTTTTGCAAGTTCGTTCACATTTCCAGTTCAATGCGACTTGTATGTGATCTGCTGTGTGAACTTCATACAACCCAGAAGTGTCCCGCATGCGCAGAAGAGGACACGACGACGTCACACGCAGCGAGCGTGCTCAGTGTTTACGGAAGTAAACATGGATGGTGGCGCCGATGGCGCCAATGGAAACAGAAGTGTGTCCGCTAACTAAACTAGCATCAGCAGCCAAGTACTGCCTGTGCGTTCCGGCTACTTCCACCCCGTCAGAGCCCTCCCTCAGGGTGGAAGTGTCCCACCGACTGTTCCAAATATTCAGATATTCATCATTAATTGGGCCTGAATATCCAGAGACCAGAAAGTGCTATTGGGACCAGCCCTACTAGTTATTATAACAACTATGAACAATAATTAACAACAAATGAGCCTTCCAGCATCAAGCCCTCCTTGTATCTCGACCTCCGTCTTGACAATCCGACAGCCTTGCTATCCGACATAAAAGAAGGTTTTACATTTAGTGTCGGATTATCGAGTCATGACTGTACAACATGTAACAGGAAAATACAGATTAGACACAGGTAAATAGATAAATTACACTGTTAAAAATAAAGTATTTATTTAAAGAAATTACAGAAACTTTTAGCACACTTATTCACAATTTGGTTTGGATCAATATTGTTGCATTTAATTTGCATCACATTTGCCGAATACGGATCTCCATAGTAACTACAAAATGAAAAGTTTGTTTTTCTCCAACTCTGAACATACATTAACATAATGTACTTTATTAATCATTCACCATCAGAATGTTTTCCCCGGCGATATGACCAGCAAATTCATCAACTTCATGCTAAACTGTGTGAATAAACACATTCTCCATCTGGACAGGGTGTTCTGGTTGGTACTTTTCCATACGCTTTAGTCTCCTGACCTTGAATTCCTGAGGGCTTTGGGTAAACTGCAGCATTTTATCTTGCTGTTCTCCTTGACAGTTGTAAAAAAAAAACATGTTCTTGTTTCAGCATATTTCCCCGCGAGCTGAAGGAAGTTTTTGCCTCATGGAGAGCCAGATGTGCTGAGCGTGGAAGAGAGGATCTGGCCGACAGCCTCATCAGCTCCTCCCTGTTTCTGCGCTTCATGTGCCCGGCCATCATGTCGCCCTCCCTGTTCAACCTGATGCAGGAGTATCCCGCTGAACGCACGTCCCGCACGCTCACGCTCATCGCCAAGGTGATGCAGAACCTGGCCAGCTTCAGCAAGTGAGTGTCTGCCTTCCGCATTACACTAATGTGATTCAGTTCATTTTTAGACGTGCAGACATTTGATGCTTGTGGGATGCATGTCACCGAGGAACATCACGGAAATAGAGGCTTGCAGTTCCGACTGCGAGGCTATAAGCTGTTAGTCACCCACACGCTGCTGCATTTGTTCCTAACTTCACTGTGTACTCTGCACTGACATATTTTTGAATATTTTACCAAATTCTTCAGGCTTAAACAGGAACCTGTGATTAAGACATCAGCAGTATGGTGGAAATTACAAGACTCGGTTCGAAAACTTTTGCTGAAATACACTCATCGGTTTCATCTGTTTCAGTGGATGTCATCAGATATCCCAAAAAAAACCCCTCAATGTGACCTTTAAGAATAAGTTCATACTTGCTACGTCATCTTTATGGTTCCCTGTGGAGCTGAAACAAGTGGTCAGCTAATATACTGACACACATTTAGCTCCTATAACTTCACAAAAATCAAAGAATAACTTCAAGTAGCTTTTCTATCAAGAGGATTTGCTGCTTTTCTCTGTTTTAAATCGTTGTAGATTGAATATCTTTGGAGTTTTGAGGAGGTTGCTTTTCATAGTTTTCTAAATTTTTCAAAATAAATCATCACCTGGGAAAAAAATGCAAATGAATTAATAATGAACATATTCATTAGCTGCAGCTATAGTCCATCAACATGCTTTATCCAGAGTTTTATAAAGAGACCCAGGTTGCAACTCCCCTTTATGTACACCACCTTGTTTATTTAGTATTCAGAAGAAGAAAGGGGATGCTGGTGAAGACTATGAGGTGCAGCTGAAAACTTGTAAGCTGAACCTGAGTTAAGATTATATTGTCAACCTACCGTTTACCAACATTAATTTTAACCTTAAGTGGGGGGTGCATGTACACTAGTTTCCCAGTTATACATTTTTCAAGTGCGATACTGTGACATGTAAACAACAACACAAGTTACATGTTAGTAAAAAAAAACAAAACACATGCTAGTAACGGGTTGAAGGTCTAAATGCTGAAATGAAACTGAAACCCCCGACACTGGTAATAAACAGAAATGTTTTTGTTTTTTTACTTCTGCTTCTGTCAACATCACTAATAACTGGATGGAGAAGCTAAATCCAAACTGTAAGTGCAGCAGAGTCCAGGCAGCTTGAAACTAAATGGAGCTCATTTTTAATTCTTGAGATAACTGAGCGAGAGTAGAAACAACAGATTTGCTGGATGTGGACGAGTCGAAGGCCACCAACACAGATGGTCCAAAACCTGGAGACTGAAAATAAGATAAATATATGATGAACGCAAACTTGGGTATGAAGATCGAGGCGTCTCATATCCAGAATAGGATCGGACCCAAAACTAACATACTAATGACGTCACTGACATCAGAACAACAACACAAAAGTCACTATCCACTTATGGATTAACTGTATTTCTATGACACCTAGCATAAGAGATTTTATTCTACTTTATCTACCCATATAACCGTTAAACTCGGTTGAACTGCAGGCTCTGCACACTAACTTGTCTTTGTCTTCATGTATCTGTGATGTTTGCAGATTTGGTCCCAAGGAGGAGTACATGTACTTCATGAATGAGTTCCTGGAGATGGAGTGGGGCTCCATGCAGCAGTTCCTCTACGAGATTTCCAACATGGACGCCGGAGGAAACGCCGGAGGGTTCGAGGGCTACATCGACCTCGGCAGAGAACTGTCCATGCTCCACAGCTTGCTGTGGGAAGTCATGGGCCAACTTAGCAAGGTGGGTGAAGAACACAGCGAGTGGACTCTCTGAAGCCCTCCTCCTGTCTGCTCTGTGGAAACACAACCTGCAGTTCAACCTAAATCAGAGAAGAAGTCCCAGAATTGTTGTTGTTGTTTGTTTTTACTGGATCTGGTTACTGCAAATGCTTTATTCTTGGAATTATTTTTAAATAAGACATGATTTTTGCTGAAATATGATCATTTTTTAATCTTAGATTTGTTTGTTTTTTCTGAGATACCGAAAGCCACACATGATTAATTTAAGGAAAGTTGAAAATCTGACATTTCTGTTTCTACAGTTTCTTGCAATGAAAAATGGTGTAATTTTGGTGATTTATATATATATTAAAAAAAAAAGCAGCATGGCATTCAAAACCTCAGGCTGGTTTTTGGTTCAGGGGATTAAATTGAATATTTCATATGGTTTCTCTCTCTGACTGCAAAATGTAGAGAGTGGAGAGAAAATGATGAAACACAGTTGCCTATCTACCAGACACGAATATAAAACCTGAAGTGTAATTACTTGCAACATATTGAAAGCTGTCACATTGTCCTGCAGCAGCAGAACGCCGGCATAAAGCTTTTGGAAACATTTGAAATAAATGTCTCAGACGGTGATGTGAGGCGTTATAGTGGACGGTTATGCCCCAAAATGGGAGTCACGCCGCTTGTTTTCGGGTTAAAACTTTTCGAAGCGCCCTCGTACCGCTCCTTAAACTTTGACCGTCGCAGTGTGTGCTGTGAAACAAGCTGTCAGCTGTCTGTGTGCTGTCTGCAGCTTAAGCTAGTTTATACTCTCAGGAGACACTATAACAAATTTGATCTAACTGGGCAGAGGATCGTGGGTCAGAACGGCCAGAAAAACATGCTGGCTCGCGTACTGCAAAATCTGACCCGACATAGTAGCACATTCAGGCATTTTTCGGTGTACTCCATTCGACTAACTATGTATTTAGACATTTCTGCCATATTATATACCATGCTGGTAAGGATATTGGAACAAAGCTAATATAATTTAACAAAAATGTTGATTCCTCAATCAAATATAGAAACATATTGAATATATATCATCTGATGAAGGTACCACAGCCTGTTGTATCATCTCTGGTACCAATATGGAGCGCTGATCTGATAGCAGTTCATTCCAAAGTTTACATCTAAAACATATAGTGGAGCTGCCGAGGCCATGCTCAAAACGTCTGCCTGATAAATGCTGTAACATTAGAGTGAGTAGTGCAGACTGGGTGGTGAGATATTTGGAGATCAAAATTGCTATCCCGATACCAGCATAGCAAACGAATAGTGGGCTATTCGGCTGTTTGGGTCCAGCCCTAAATCCCACAACACTGTTATTACAAAAAGGCTCCTGGTTCCAGGTCATGTGAGCATATAAAGCTTGATATTTCACCCCCTAAAGTGTAAGTCTGAGGCCCTGTTTACACATAGCAAAAACGGTGATATTTCAATGCATCTGGACCTTTGGTTTACACACAAAAGAGGCTACAAGTCACTGAAAACGATCATCTCTGAAAACTCTGGCCAAAGTGGAGATTTGGAAAAACTCTGTCTTTACATTTGCATGTAGACGAGAGGAGACGGAGTTTGACGTCACAGAGCGACAAAAGCGTCACCAGCGTCACATGTGTGTGACCCACATTTGCAGTTTGGCTACATCCATATAGTTGGACTGACGTGTTTCCCAGTAAATGTTTTCAAGAATTTTACTTGTTTTGTTCTCTAACACCACATTTAGGAGTAGCTCCACTTCTCTGTGGGTCCAAACAAACGACCCTCGCGCCATTATCGTTGAAGTAACAAGAAGTTTTCGTAGCTAGCATGACTTTATGCGTCTCGTTACACTGCCCCCTATAGGTTTGGCAGCTCATAGCAGCTCTAAGCGACATGCTTATGCGATTATGCTTATGTGAATTTCTCCACTGGGAGATAAATAAAGGCATATCTTATCTTATCTTATCTTATGCGGGTTTGTGTAACCGAAGACTTTTTTGACAACGATATGGTGTGAACAATGTTAGTTTTGAAAACATGGATCCATTTTTGTGAAAACCTGGCTACGTGTAAACGTGGCTTAAGTCTATTTTCCTAATTTTGAACTCCTGTCCACTCTGTAGGATGCCATTCTCAAGCTTGGACCCCTGCCCCGGCTGCTGAACGACATCAGCGTTGCCCTGAGGAACCCACAGCTCCACATGCCCACCAATCACCAGCCAGATCGACCAAAGGACAGACTCTTCTCCCGTCCATCTTTCAACCGTCTCATGTCCTCAGACTTCCAAAGCCTTATGATGCGTGACCTGAACAGGTATCTTCCCCGAGGTGTCCCGGTATTTTTTTTGTATTTTTGCTGCCATCACATGTGGACGTGTCCCGAAGAGAGTGAAGCCACAGTGAATAGCTGCATATACAGTCATCCTCAAATGTATTCAGATCCTTCCATTAAAGACAAGACAAAAGCCACAATAGTCACTCAAATAACTAGAAAATGAAAAAAGTAATAATAAATAAAAATTTGATAAATTATAATTTATTGAAATAGGATGTTGCTTTTGAATTGTGATTGAAAAGAATAATTTAAAAAAACAAACAAAACTTTCCTGGACAAATTAGAGCACTTTAAATATTACTTTACGGGTCCCATCATGCTTGTTTATTTTATTTTTTTAAAATGTTTCTGTTGAACCACAATTCAAAAGCAATGCCATGATTTTCATAAAATGTTTATTTATTATTACTTTTGTTAATTTCAGCTCATTTCAGTCACAGCATTTTCTTTTTTTCCTTCTTTAATGGGAGGGTATGAATACATCTGAGGACGATTGTACATGGGTGTCATTGGCAGTAACACATAAGAAAGGCCAAGAAAACACAACCAGCGAGAGTTCAGTAGCCCAGAACATCATTGGTGTATTGCTAAGAGCCCATAATACTAATGTACCTCTTCAGGCTTTTAAAGTATTTTATCAATCAGTAATTGCCAGCACCATCTGTTCTCACACTCTCTCACCCAAACCTCTTTCCCCTCGCGTTTTAATTCTTTTCTGCACTCTGCCATCGTCGAGAGTCAGTTGCTCCATTACAGCCTCTTTACAAAAGAACTCTTTAAGTAAGATAAATAACAGGGGTGATACCAGACGGCACCTTTTTTTGTGTGTGTGTGTTTACTACTGCAAGTCCCTCCCTCTAAATATTTGTCTGTTGGGCACCGAATCTGAAGCAGTAAACATGTCACTGAATGAGATTGACTTAAATCTGCAGCAGGCAGCTTTGAGGAGACCGAGATCAAACGTCTGGAAAGGCAAGGAGCAGCGCACCTGCCAGCTCGAACCCCAGAGGCGTCGCGCTACGAGTGAATGACGGGATGGCGTCATGCCACGTGTGTCATTATGCAACAGTTATATCATTAAACATGTGTAATTCTTGCATACCATAAAATCTAGTAGACAGGTGCGTGGGATTAAAAACATCCTCGCTTTGATGAGAGCGAGGAAAGCTGCATGTTGTCTCCCTTGTGCAGAGAGAGTGTTCGCTCTGAATGCTGGAGCGGAAACAAGTTGAGCAGAAATGATTGACAGTGTGCAGAAATTATTTGTTTTCTTTCACATTTTACTTTGATTAGAAAAAGTCATTTTACTTTTCTCATCCTTGGTAAGTGGGCCACTTTTTTAATTTGCCTACCAGAACTTTTACAATTACAGGCAGATTTCCTTCATTTTCTGATTATAAAATACAGTCGTGACTCGATAATCTGACCCTAAACAATCCTAAAACCTTGCTATCCGACAGGTTTTTAGGAAAAATGAACGGAACCCATTAAAAATAGCCTTAACATACCGACAGCCTTGGATTCCGACTCCGACATGACATTTTATGTCACAAATCAGGATAACGGCGTATTATCTGACTGAACAATCCCACAGATTGGCTACGTTCACACTGCAGGGCTTAATGCTCAATTCAGATTTTTTTGTGAAATCCGATTTTTTTGCAAGTTTGTTCACATTTCCAATTAAATGCGACTTGTATGTGATCTGCTGTGTGAACTTCATACGACCCAGAAGTGTCCCACATGCGCAGAAGAGGACACGATGACGTCACACGCAGTGAGCGTGCTCACGGATGGTGGCGCCACCGCTGCCGATGGTGGAAACAGAAGTGTGACCGCTAACTAAACTAGCATCAGCAGCCAAGTACTGCCTGTGTGTTCCGGCCACTTCCACCCCATCGGAGCGCTCCCCCGGGGTGGAAGTGGTCCCGCTGACTGTGCTGAATATTCAAATATTCATCATTAATTGGGCCTGAATATCCAGAGACCAGAAGTGCTATTGGGACCAGCCCTAGTTTGTCGTGCATCAATGACGTGTAGGTTGGATGAGTGTGACTGGACCGTTCAGACAGAAGTCGCATGGCAAAAGATCAGATTGGATTCAGGACCACTTACCTTTGATGTTAACCAACGAGCCTGTGCACAATCGTACCAGTCAAAGACAGAAATCCAGCGATGCGTAGTGTTCTAACAATACACTAGTTATTATACCAACTATGAACAGTAAATATTAAAAACAAATGACCCTTCAAGCATCAAGCCCTTCTTGTATCTCCACCTCCGTCTTGACAATCAAACATAAAAGAAGGTTTTACATTTTGTGTCGGATTATCGAGTCACGACTGTACTTTGATTCATACGTAAAACACTAAGTAGGTCTCTTGGCAGCCCTAAAAAAACCCACATTATCATCCACCAAACACTTTTATCCTTAACATTTTTCCTACTTCTGCTTCTTTCTTTCTTGAGTTCCACCCTTAAAGGCCTCCAAATTATTTTAATTAAGTAGAAAATAACTCTTTGATGAAACTGTTCACAACCTACAGCCATTCCAGCGGTGACAAAGGGCTCGCAACAATGAAATGTTGTCTCATATTTCAGGCAGAAAAGGTGGCGAGCCAAACGCCTGGCTTGTCTTTCTTCTCCTTTCCCGTCAGATCTTTGTTTATTCTTTAATTAAAAATTAAAAAGGAGGCAGCGTTTTCCCCGCTTGGGACCACCTGTCTATTAATTACATTCAGGAAATATTCATGAGAGCAGCAGTTTGTCAAATCTTTCTGCCGTGTATCCGCAGCTCAATAGACATCTCTCGCCTGCCGTCCCCCACGACCGGAGTGTCGGCCGTGGAGTCCCTCTCATCGAACCTGAACATGAGGCGTCACGCCGAGCGAGACCTGCGCTCGTCGAGGGAGGTGTTCTACGTGACCCGCCCGCCCCTGGCTCGGTCCAGCCCGGCGTACTGCACGAGCAGCTCGGACATCACAGAACCGGATCCCAAGGTAGAGAGCGTGCCAAAGCGTCTCTCGGTTCTGCTGTGAACACGTTTCAGGCCTCGAGGGCTACATGCATACATTCTCATCAAATATAATCAAAGCGTGAGAATATTTACATATTTAGGAAATGATGAGTAGAATAATACATGAATGCTAATTTGGTTTGTCTGTGATATCAGACTGTTATTGTCTGTGGCTTGATTGCACTCTTTGTTTCTGATTTACGTGTACGAATTCGTCCTCTAAAAGATGCCCTCCAGTTGAATGTGACAGCACATCAAAGAGTAAAAAAATGAAAAAAGACACAATCAGATATAATTTTTAGATGTTTAACAGGATTCATATGCTAATGGAAGCTCAATTCATTCAAATTAGATGTTAAACTATAAATACATGTACTGGAACTTATGGAGTAGGATATATACTGTATGTGTTTTAATGCACAGCAGGATCTTAAAATACATGTTAAGGTGCATTTATGTGAGTTTATTGGTTTAACAGAAAGAGAGTTTGGAAGCTGTAGCTCCTTAACCCTATTCTGGACTTTTGGGGTGTTTTGGTTCAGGTGACAGGTGTGGTTTTTTAATTTTGAAGATTTTTTTTAAATATAAAAAGAGGGACATTTGTCATGCATTTGAAACCAAAAATACATCAACTTATCAGAAAATGTATTTAACACTGTATAAAGGTCTATAATGAATACCAACAATTATTGTTCTTGGGATCCAATAGACCCTGAAAGACCTTCTACGTATGGCAACATGAAAGTCCTGGACAGAGTTAACAGATACAAAGTCATCCTAAAAACTGAATCTAAAAACATAAACTTAATGATCCTTTGGAGAACTAACACCAAAATGCTTTATTTAAATAACTGCAACAGCGCTACATGCCTTTCGTTGTGTCTCTCAGGTCCACAGTGTCAACAAAAGTGTGTCCATGATGGACCTCCAGGACTCTCGCATGAACAGCATCTCTAACCTGAACTCTGTGGGAGACATGCTCACCTCCTCTCAAGCCTCCATCGCTGGTCTTGGCCACAGCTTCGGGAACCTCGGTGGCCCTCTTCGTATGGGAGGGCATATGCCGGCGGGTTCAGCGGGCTCTGGGCTGAGACTGAGCCAGATGGGCCACGTAGGGGGGCCCACCGAATCCATCTCTCAGCAACAGCAGCAGGCCGCGGCGGCCATGCACTTCCCCCTGTCTTTCCAGAACCCGCTATTCCATCTGGCTGCCCAGAACTCCCCAGCTCAGTCCCAGCAGCCTCCTCCGCCCCTCCTCCTCGCCCCCGAGCCTGAGAATGGCCACCACGACTATCAGCCCGCCTTTGGCAACAGCGCCTTCTCCCGCAGTGAGGACTTGTCTGCCCTGCGGTCACAGAGCAGTCTGGTGCAGCCCAGCATTGTCCACTCACACAGCTACAGTGATGATTTCACCCGGCAGAATCAGAGCAATGACTACGCCTGGCACCAGCTGTCGCTGCAGGTGCAGGTAGGAATCTCTCACTTATCTTCACACATACACAACGACAGGTTCATGTTGGAAACGATATGCAGCAACATGCTTCTGCTTTTTCTTACTTCATTTATCGTAAATACGAGCAGTATACAAACCTAAAATACAAGATAGTTTTACTGTATTATCATACAGATGATGGCAGTACAGTAGTGACTTGATAATTCGACACTACATGTAAAACCTTCTTTTATGTCGGATTGTCAAGACGGAGGTGGAGATACAAGGAGGGCTTGATGCTTGAAGGCTCATTTGTTGTTAATATTTATTATTCATAGTTGTTATAATAACTAGTGTATCGTTAGAACACTACGCATCACTGGATTTCACGCCTTATTCGCCGGTGAGATTGTGAGCGTTTTGGCCACTTCCACCCCATCAGGCGCACCCCCAGGGTGGAAGTGGCTGGAACGCACAGGCAGTACTTGGTGGGGGAGTGGCGACCAAGATCCGCTCCGCCGCCACCACCCATGTTTACTTCCACAAACACTGAACTAGGGCTGGTCCAAATAGCAATATCTGTTCTCTGGATTTTCGGCCCCATTTAATCACGAATATCACGAATATTTGGGGGTGACACGCGGTGGTGGCGAGTGGGTATTCGTTCTGACGCCATCAGCGGTCACCGTACTGCATCCACCATCAGTAGCAGATCCAGCCCTACACTGAGCATGCTCGCTCCATGTGACGTCATCGTGTCCTCTTCTGTGCATGCGGGACACTTTTGGGTCGTATGAAGTTCACACAGCAGATCACATACAAGTCACATTGAATTGGAAACGTGAACGAACTCGCAAAAAAAAATCGGATTTCACAAAAAAATCCTCATTGAGCGTCAAGTCCTGCAGTCTGAACGTAGCCAATCTGTGGGATTGTTCAGTCAGATAATATGCCGTTATCCTGATTTGTGACATAAAATGTCATGTCGGAGTCGGAATCCAAGGCTGTCGGTATGTTAAGGCTATTTTTAATGGGTTCTGTTCGTTTTTCCTAAAAACCTGTTGGATAGCCAGGTTTTCGGATTGTTAAGGGTCAGATTATCGAGTCAAGACTGTATTTAAAAGAAACCTTAACTGTAGAATTATATTCAGGGATGCAGCATTCTTCTGCAGGAATTCATCATTTGGGATTTAGTTCCAGGTGGTAGACGGTCCTCTACTGCTGCACCAACACCGTCTGTGGTCACATTTTTACTCACTGTGTGCTCATTTTTTATTGGAATCTAAAACCCTGCACCTCTATGGAAACAGAACAACCACGAGTATAAGTAGATTGAACTCAAAGAGAAAAAAGAAAGTTGAATTTTTTTTTTTTTTTCATTTTGCAAACATTAATAAAACCCAACAGTCAACATATACCACATTTTCCAAGTGGCTCACAGGTATTACAAATGAAATGGTGACTGTACAAACTGTAGATATTTTATTTCCATACTTGTCTTCTATCGTCTCATTTACACACAGCCAGCAGTTCAGCCCAGTTCAGCCAAGACTTCCTACATTTTTTTAATGTTGGTTGAAGCTGAGGTACTCGTGGCTTTTTAGTTGCGCTACAGAGTGCAGAATTTTTCGTTTTTTCAACAGATATTTTTTTTACGGGAGGAGTTCATTATTGGGCAATTTTTTAAATAAAACATATAGAATAAAAATGACATGGAATAAATTTCACAATTATCAGCTTAGATTTGATTTGGAGCGTCTGAATGTTGTACATACGTCGATTCTTTCTGTTTGTACGGCTCTGGTTCTGATAAACGGGGTCATTTCTGTGACATAAGAAAAGGATCAATAGTGAAGCAAATATTTAATTGAAAAAAACTAATCTTTTATTTAACTATGCTGAGCTTTTGAGGAACTGACAGCTTAGTTTCTATAGTTTAGGACTGTAATTCCCCAGATTCCCCAACTCTTAGGCTAAAATGATTTACAGGTTAGCTCGTTGCCATCGCAGCACGTTGTCATTTAGAGTTCAGCTTTTGTACATGAACAAAAACACAAAAAACTAGCACCGTTACTTTTGTTTTAATTCAGCTGCTTAGTTTCAGTATCATCGCATCTGGATCTGTGAATGTCATGACGAGGAGCTTCACAGCCGAGCTAAGTTTTCTTCAAAACACCTGCATGTTTTTTTTTTTGTTTTTTTTTTAACATTCCAAGCCAAATTGCCCAACATACTTAGAGCCTTGCCATTTATTCTTAGTGTGATTTTAACACCTCGGCTGAGTTGATGAATTCCGATTAGCACCTGCAGTCCATTAGATCCCTCGTGTACTTTGCGCTGAAACGAATGAAACTGGAATCTGAAATGAAATGTTTATAAAACGGCCCTCTCTTGAGCAGCACAATATGCAAATGTAACACCAACGTAAGGGCACTTGTGATTCTGCAGACAACGCGCTGGAACGGGATCGTTCGCTGGAACCTGTAGGGTGCTTGACCTCTATTATGCCGCGTGTCCTTGTTTCAACAGGGCTGGAAATTGGGCATCGGTCAAAAGGGCAGAAAAAAGTGTCACAACTGGTGACAAAGACGCACACGATCGTTTACAGATTTACTCTTCTGTGCTGTAGCTGCCTGAGCATCCACACCATACGCCAGAGGTGGAGCACTTTGAGTAAAAAAAAACAAAAGTTAAATTAAACTGTCACTTGTTTCAAACTGTTTTAAACAAAGTAGCATCTAATGAACTTTTTGATTGCGGCTCGATGGTCCTGATCCATCGCTCCGATCGGTTTACGACGACACGTCTGTGTGATACTGTAATGTTTAAGGATGCTGTCATGTAGCTTCCATCTATTTCCGTCCTGCTGCGTGGGCCTTAATGGAACAAACATCACAAGCCTCCTGCTTATTAATACAGATGGTGTAGCCAGGACGGTGCTTTATGAATTAATTATCCATCCATCCATCCGTCCGTCTACACAATTTGCACTTCAGTTGTTTAATAAAGCGCTAAATGGTTGAGGGCAGAAGCTGATTTCTGACCGTCCACACCTCTCAGGTCGACATGGGTCAAAACAAAACATCGGCTTTAGTTTTTATGGAACGCAAGTTTGTTTTTTAAATCAAAAGACTCAAAACTCTCCTGTTTGATGTTGCCGTTTATTAAATAGTTGTGACTCGATTATCCGACACGAAATGTAAAACCTTCTTTTTTGTCGGATTGTCAAGACGGAGGTCGAGATACAAGGAGGGCTTGATGCTTGAAGGCTCATTCGTTGTTAATATTTGTTGTTTATAGATGTTATAATAACTAGTGTGTTGTTAGAACACAACGCATCGCTGGATTTCACGCCTAATTGAGCGGTACGCTTGTGCACGTTCCGACCACTTCCACCCAGGGGGAGCGCTCCAAAGGGGTGGCTAACATTCCCTATAGGTTCTCTTAAAGTTTAAAAAAACAAACAAACAAAAAAATTTAATGTAATGTTCAAAGAATACTATAGTAACATGTAGTAGTTCAAATAATGTGCCTTTGTTGTTATATGTTGACAAAGATAGAATGTTCCTCTATAGAACATTACCACAACGTTATATGATAACAAAGGAAGGACATTCTCCAAGAAACACTCTGAAAATGTTTTCAGAATATTTTTAAAGCCTCAGCTTACATTATGTTATTTTTAAAAAGATTCTCTAAGAATTTAAAGAAAACGTCCTGCTGAAAACATTGCAACAACATTAGTGCATCATATTCTAGAAATGTTGTCATTTAACATTTTAAGAGGGTTATTGCCAAACATTTTCTGAATGTTTTTAGGGAACGTTCTCAGAACTTAAAGAAAACTTCCTGCTGAAAATCTGGCAACAATGTTCCAGTCAACATTCTAAGACCGTTCTAAGAACCAAACATTTCTAGCTGGGTTATTGGTGGCACTGAGGAGAATCTTGTGTCTCTTACAGAATCTGGTTCATGCAAACTGGTTTGGCTTTTTTTTTTTAAATGAGATGCAGAAAAAAGATTTTGGGGAAACGTCACAATTTGAAGTTTGAAAATCCACCGAGTTTCACTGTTTTTACACTTTCTAGCTCCGATAAATTGTGTAATTTAGGCAGTTTTTCAAGAACATGACATACGTTTCACACCTGCTGATGTGTTTCAAGGTTCAGAGGGTTAACGGAGGAGACAAAAACAGTCTTAGTTACAGTATAATGTCATCCAGAACATGGAGCAGATAGATGATATGGCAGGCTTTAGATAGTGTTTCCCTTATGTGGTGCTGCTAATGTGGTAACTGTGTGTTTTGTGAAACACATTAAACTGCCTTGTTGTTGAAAGGGTGCTTTGCTTCTATTCACTCTCCTCATTCATGATTGTGGTGTTAAATAATTGAGGTGGCAGATGCTTTTCACATTTTTTGAAGAAGGAGGAAAGTGCAAATGTGTTATATGTTGCTTTCCTTCATCTCAGCGGGGGTACCTGTGTGAGCCGCTGCCTGCCTTTGTTTCTTGTTAGATTTTACCACCGGGGGCATCAAAGTCAAACATGACACACGGTGGCTTTCGGTAATCATTTGCTTCAATATCTTCTCCGCTCTCAGGAGTCTCTCCAGCAGCAGCACATGATGGGAGTCGCATCTCAGACGGGCACCGGTACCGGCACTCCCGCCTCTTTGGCCACGCCCCCGACGACGGTCCATCCCGTCCGCCAGTCGTCCATCGCCCCGCCACAACACCTCAAGTCCCAGCGGTCCATCAACACCCCGGCCACCGCCACGCCTCCCAAGGTCCGTCCGCAGAGCAGGAACCTCCTCCTCGACTCCTCCGACACGAACTTACACGGCAGTCAGCCCAAATCACGCCAATCTCAGCAGCAGGCGCAGCAGCAGCACCAGCAGCACCAGCAGCAGCAGCAGCAGCAGCAGGCGCAGCAGCAGCAGGACACGCAGCTGACAGACAGTCCGGCTCCTGGGCTCCCCTACCAGACGAGCTCCACCAAAGAGAACCAGGGCCCGCCTGCAGCTGCAGAGGAGTCCACAGACACACCCACGAAAAGCACCAAGAAGCCTCAGTCACAGCTGCAGCCGCCACAGCAGCATCTGCTCAAGCCAGTTGTCAATAAACAGGTAACCGAAGCCTCTGAACCGCAGAGGAGAATATTCAAAACCTGAGTCTTCATGAACTGATGCACATAGGAGTCAGATTTCTTTAGCGCCTCGGGTTATACAGAGGATGTCTTTGCATTAAGGCAGAGACAGCGTTTAATTATTTGAATCGTAATGAGACAAATCCCCGAGTGAGAGAAGAACCGAAGTCACGACTCTCCGCTGTTGTTGTTTCAGGGTTCTCAATCGACCTTGAGCACTCCGACCATGAACGAGCGGACGGTCGCCTGGGTGTCCAACATGCCACATCTCTCTGCTGACATCGAGAGCCTGCGGCCGGACCGCGAGGGTCAACTCAAAGAGTACTCCAAGAGCATGGACGAATCACGACTAGAGAGGGTGAGCACCTTCAAAATGAAAGTATCCACACTCACTTTAAGTTAACAGAAGGTTAAAAAAAAGGTAAGTTTTTTTGGTTTGGATGTCAGTAAAAATAGTGTTTGAGTTCTCCAGAACCTCTAGGCCATATTTAGAAATTTAAATATTTACAAGAATCAACAGGAATCAGTTCCCAACTTTACACTGTTTTTTAAAGACGTTGCCTCCTGAAGCCAGTGTTTGCTCTGACAAAAAAACGTTTGTGCTCGGTGTAAATGTCTAGATTTAGATTGTTGGCATGTTCGCAAGTCCAAGAAGCAACAACAGCAAAACTAAATATTAAAATGAAATAATCAGAAGTTTTAGGGCTCTGCAGTCCTAAACATCCCAGTTTGTTAGATTTTCTTTAAAAAAAAAAATCATCCAAAAATATCTCTTAATTTCTTGGGACCTTAGAAAATCCAAAAGCTCAACTCAAAATACTGTTTTAATTATGACTTTTTTTTTAAAATTAAGCCTTTCTTGGTATTTTGTGACTCGTTAAAAGCCTCACTAATCGCCTATTTTTCACTGGATTAAGTTGAGAGTTGCACCGAAAATCCTCAAAGCCCTCAGGATGTTTGCAACTAAACAGTTGTTGATACGCTTTGTTTGCAGTAATAACAATACATATAAATAAATAAATGTAAAAATTAGAATTTGCTATTAATTTTTGAAATGTCTGCACTCTCTTGCAAGCTAATTTTGATTCTGTGCGGTATTACCATCATGATGTTTTTAGTTTTTAGAATTTTCATTTAGGTGTTGGAATTTGCACCATGTCGACTTTTTTAAAAATCAGAATCAGAAACAGGTTTATTGCCAGGTATAGTTTACACAATACGAGGAATTTGTTCTGGTGGGTTGGAGCAACAAAACAACAATAAATATACAGTAAAAAAAAATAAATACACAGTAAAAATAAAGTGACTAAAAATAAAAATAAAATCTTTTTTGAAATAAAATAAAAAAAAATAAAATTAAAAAATAAAATTAAAAAATAAAATTAATAAAAATAAAAATAAAATAAAAATATAGAATAAAATGTAAATATAGAGTAAGGTACAATGTACAACATAAAAATATAAAAATGGCTAAAAAATAAAAATAACTAAAATAAAAGTAACTGTAGTAGTGCAAAGCAGAAGCAAAAAATATTGTGTCAAATTAAAGTTAAATTTCAATAAGAACCATAAAACTGTGGAATTGTTTACAAGAATATTGAGGGTGCAGATATATTGATATATTTCTGACTGTAAAATGTCATAGAAAAGCTCAGTCATAAACTCTACTTTGACGTGTCGCTGCCAAAAAAGGTGATAATTCTCCTTAATGTTTGTCACTGAGGTCATTGTGGCTACGACACAATAAAACTATTTTCTGTAAATTTCTTACACCTGCAGCATCGACATCAACCAGCTCTGAAACGGCAGCAGGTTCATAAAGATAAATGGCAGAGCTGCTGTATTGGATCGCAGTAAATTTCACACGTGTACTTAATAAAATGGCCGATGAATGTGGGGAGATAGAAAACTTTAGTTATTTGCTGTTTCTAAAAAGCTCAATGTGTGGGTCAAGAGGAACACACAGTCATATAAACTATTCACGGCAAAAAAATCTGCTTTATTTCAAATGTATTTAACATTTAAGAACGGCCCAAACTTGATCCTTTGATCTGCAACGGTTGACTGATTGGCGTCGGTGAGAACCGAAGAGCGACCCCTCGTTTACGTCCACTGTGACACGTGTTTTAATCTGAATCATTTACTCAACAGTGATCTGAATGAATAACTGATGATAATACAGACAGAAACTCATGAGACAAAATTACCAAAGCGACCAGGAAATAGAAGCAAATCGATTTAGTTTAAGACATGTCGAAGGTTATTAAGCCGCACAGAAGAGTTTGTCTTGGTGCACTCTTATGAGCTGGAGCCCCTCCAGGGGTCTCTGGCATGAAGGTGCCCATCTTCTCTGGTTCCTACAGGAAGAGGCTCCACCTGGTGGCGCAACCAGCTGCACCGAGCTACATGTATTATCTAGGAAAACAGCACTAGGTATTGATTTAACACCATACTTGTGATTGGAACAGTCGAGGCCGTCTGCATTGAACTAGTCGTGTTTGTCCAGAATAATAAAGACCCTCGGTGGGATTAAAAACATTTGGTGTCAGACTGAAGCTTGATTCATATTAGCTGATTTGGATTCTAGGAGTAATAATGGACTCAGAGCTGAACTTTAACAGCCACATTGAGTCAATAACATTATTATCTAAAAAACAACATCAAAGCTATAGTGTCTGAGCCAGACCTAGAGAGACTAGTCCATGTCTGCAGCAGGTCAGACTACTGTACCGGCTGCTCACTATTCTCTCTAAACGGGCTGTAAGACGGCTGCAGTTTATCCAGAATGCTGCTGCTCGAGTCCTGACTAGAACCAGGACCACATTAGTCCAGTGCTCCAGTCTCTGCACCGACTTCCTGTCGCTCAGAGACTTGAAAACAGCTCTGCTTGTGTGCAAGTCTCTTCAAGTCCATCTCTGACATGTTAGTGTCATATGAACCATGTCGGGCTCTCAGGACCTCAGGAAGGGTCTCCTGCTGGTGCCCAGAGTCAGAACTTATGCAGCTAAAATCTGGATTTCAGAAGATGTGAGCCAGGCCTCGACTCTGACAAATCCAGGCTGATAACAGTTCTATGTAGTTGGTCATATTACAGCTGAAATTCTTCTAATCAATGATTATATTGATGTTTGTATGGCTTGATTTTATCTGCCTCTTTGCTTTTAATGTAGTTAATTAATAATTGTGTTTATGTGGACTGATTTGATCTGTCTTCTCCTGTGTGAAGCACTTTGATTTACCTCCAGTATGAATCATGCTATACTAAAAAACCTGCCCTGACGGAGAACCAAAAAAACCCCACCTTGATCCAGACGTCACACATGTATGTCCTGAAAAATCTGAAGCAACACGTGAACTAAACACTGATGGCTTCATTCACTGGAGAGGGGAAAATGTTCAGCTGTACTGGACCTACACATGTTAAAACCTGAACGTGACTGGATGCACTTTGACAAACAACTCAAACACTACATATCATGTTTATATTAGAAATAGAGGAGTTGCATAGAATTGAAGTTGGTGGTTATACTTCAGACCATCACAGCTTTCTCTGCACCTCACTGCACAGAAACTCGCGTCTCAGAACATCCAGACTCCGTACAGACAGAGCGGCGTCTACATTCATAAAGTCACTCATCAGTCAAGCAGCGTTCCTGAACAGCAGCGACAACGTGAGCAAAGTCACAATATTTCTTTTGCTTTGCAGGTGAGAGAGTACGAAGAAGAAATCCACTCCTTGAAGGAGCGGCTGAAGATGTCTCACCGCAAGCTTGAGGAGTACGAGCAGAGACTTCTGACGCAGGAGCAGCAGACGAACAAGATCCTGCAGCAGTACCAGTGCCGGCTGGAGGACAGTGAGCGCCGCCTCAAGCAGCAGCAGCTGGAGAAGGACTCCCAAATCAAAGGCATCATCAACAGGTGATTAGTGTTCAGGTCGAAGTGGTCGCTAGACTTTTGCGTCAGATTTATCAAGATGTTTTTCCCCTCCCAGATGAATAACGCACAAGAAAGCTTATGAACAGCCATGAAGGGTTATAATCCACATATTTTTATTAATCACTGTCCCGTATCATAATTAAACACAATTGAGCAGTGGAGGCACGTCCTGATTTCACCAAGCGGTGGTTGTTCTGGGACCAGCTTTTTGTATGATTTATGATTTGTGACAACAGCTGCCGCTGCCAGTCAGCGTTTGTGATGGCTTCAGGAGGGAGCTGAGCTGCCAGGGCCTGCTGCAGAATTAGAAAAATACATAAAAGACGTGTGCAGAGAGGTGCAAATCACAGCAGGGAAGTTTTTTAAATGCAATTAGTATCGGAGTTTATGCTGATCTGCTGCTACAGTTTTATTGTGATGATTTTGGGATAAGCGTTTTTCCACCATGGAGGTAAAGACAGATGATCAGAGCTGCCTTCGTCCTTGCTAGTAGGATTTACATGATGATGTTTTTATATCGTGCATGACTGAAAAAAAAACAGAAAATAGAAGCTAGGTAGCCGTCCCCAAAGCCACTTCTAACCAACCTCTAAATATAGTCATTTTCATCTCTAAACAGCATTTTATTTATTTTTGTAATTACAGGACACAAGCTTGCAAAATCTATCTTTAGCTAACAGAGCATAAACTTCCCTCATTACTGATGTTGTTGTTGGACGTAGTTTCATTTTCAGTCCTGGGGACAACGAGCTCAAAAATACATCTAGTATGCTGAGCTAAGAGCATAAGAAGTTGAATATAACATTTCTCTGTCTGTCACTATCCTCAGGTTAGGGATACTGTGGGCATTGTTTTTTTATTATTATCATTCTACGGTCATTTCTTGCTGCACAGATACACTATATGGCATATATATAATATATCCACCTAGTGTGTGTTGTCGAGCTGTCGCTACTTTATTCTCTGTTACACGATATTTTGTTCACAATGTTCTACAGCATCCTAGGACTTGGCTCAGCACACTGGATATATTCTTGACCCCAGCTCCCACTGTTTCTCGCTGCCTGCAGCGCGGCCAATAATCCTGCAGAATGTACCCGAAGCTTCGCTAACACCGCTAACCGAAGAGAGTCCAGGCTTTATTAGCTGTTCTGCTAGTGACCAAATACAGAATTTGTCAGAGCGAGAAGCTGTAGAAACAGAATCAAATCCGTATTCTACGTATTTAATTTAAAAATTAATCGCCAAAAATAAATGCTTCAGCACAAAAATTCAGGGACTTTTTGGTTGGACTACAGGTTGTTTTCACACAGGAGACAAGTATGGAAACAGATTAAAAATCCAAATATCTAAAGTGTGTCACCAGTTTTTTTCCACTTGTTGGGACTTGGAAGAATGTTGTACAAGGTTGTTTTTTCCCCCATTTTTTGTAAAATAAATAATCAAGAAATTCAACATTTGTTTTTTCTTCTTTTTTTATTACTGATATTATAATTTTGTGATACTGCTCAAAGAGTATTTCACAACTTTTTAGCCATGGCTGTGCTGTTTCCACAGAGGTGCAGTAGTGAAGTTGTGACAAGAACAAAACAAACAAAAAAATGCCCCGAAAGTAAATATTAACATTAGCATAAAATATGGAAATAAGTCTCTTGACTTTTTGAGTCAAATATTAGACTACACATTACAAGATTTTTTAAAACCCGTTTTTAGTTAATTACTTTCATATTATTTCAATTTGAGTAAGAAACATAAAGGTGCTCATCAGTTTTGACTGACACCAACCATGCTAACTCCTGCCAATGCTAGCTATTGTTAGCTTGCTTCCGTGGTGGAAAAAATAGAATCTAAAGTGCAAAAATACTTGTAAATATCCTCATAATAATATGCAAGTCAGCAAGTTGGATCCGTAACTTCGGGACAAGGATTGGCTTTATTGGCATATTATTTTAGTTTGCGCAAGAAACATACAGGTGCTCATCAGTTTTGACTCATACCAACCATGCTAACTCCTGCTTATGCTCGCTAATGTTAGCTTACTTCTGTGGTGGAAAAATTATAATCTAAAGTGCAAAAATGCTTTTAAATATTTTTATAATGATAAAGTTGTTGTGTCATGTTATTTCAGTTTGAGCAAGAAACATAAAGGTGCTCATCAGCTTTGACCGACACCAACCATGCTAACTCCTGCCAATGCTAGCTAATGTTAGCTTACTTCCGTGGTGGAAAAATTATAATCTAAAGTGCAAAAATACTTTTAAAAATCCTTAAAATGATAAAGTTGTTGTGTCATATTATTTCAATTTGAGCAAGAAACATAAAGGTCCTCATCAGCTTTGACCGATACCAACCATGCTAACTCCTGCCAATGCTAGCTAATGTTAGCTTACTTCTGTGGTGAAAAAATTACAATCTGAAGTGCAAAAATACTTTTAAATATCCTTAGAATGATAAATTTGTTGTGTCATATTATTTCAGTTTGAGCAAGAAACACAAAGGTGCCCATCAATATTGACCGATACCAACCATGCTAACTCCTGCCAATGCTAGCTACTGTTAGCTTGCTTCTGTGGTGGAAAAATTATAATCTATAGTGCAAAAATGCTTGTAAAAATCCTTAAAATGATAAAGTTGTTGTAGCAGATTAGCGTAACATAACATTTTCCGATTGAAAACATTCATGTTCACATTTTATTTTGGGTTTTTTTTCTTCATTTTCCAGACATCGGCAGCAGGACTGTCTGTTGATTCGTGTACAAACACCGATTAGGGAGCTTTTGTCGCAGGTCTGTCATAAAAATGTTGGTCTGAAGACAATCGCGTGGCAAAATCAGGACATGCAAAGGCAAGCGTGATGAAACAGGAATGGTGCATTAACAACTGAGACACTCGATACTGCCTATTTATGTGACGTGGTGAGGCAGCGTTTTTTGTTTCTGTTGCTCCAAAGTGTTGAAGCTGTAAAAAAAAAAACGTGTAGGAGCTTCACAGAATCGGTTCATAAAAGTAGTGACTGAAGACAAACCTATCGCAAAGCAAAAGTGGTTAAAAATGGTCACCAGCATCACTCATTTTCTAGAAATTAGAGATAAAGTGTAAGTCCGTTGTAGTTGTTTCTGCTTATTGATGGAAGAAGCATCAAAAGCCGTTCAACTTTAAGACCTCCACAAAATATGCTTTCATTAAAGGTTCCCCACAGAGGTTGCATTTACGTCACATCAATCAGATTTTAAAGAAATAGTTCAACGTCCTAGAATGTTATTTGCTTTCTTACAGAGAGTTTAATGAGAAAAATATGTGCTGGAGCCAGGAGGCAGTTAGCATTGGCTTAGCATAAAACCATGCAGGGGGGAAACGGTTAGCCTTGCTGTCTGCTAACGTCCTTCTAAATCCACAACACAAATATGGTTTTGACATTTCTGTTTTCGTATGGATTGAACAAATGAAGTACTACATGTTCATTAGTGAGCTTTCGATGGACTGATAATCTTTATTTTAAGCTAAGCTAATTATCTCCTGGCTTTAGCTCCACGCTTAAAAATACCCTGTGGAATTTCCTTGTAAACAAAAACAGTCTATATTGACATAAATATGCAAATATCCACATCTATGTGCACCATTATGTTTCCATCAACTTGTTTTATTCACATTTTCAATTTGCACATAAATAAACCTAAATGGAAATGCAACAACAACAACAAAAAGAAACCCAACAGCCTTTACTCAGAATACTGCAAATAAAGAAAAAGTTCTGGATGAAATGTTCATGCACTGAATAAAAACAGAACGCAACAAATTGCAATGGCAGAAAAGTTAGAAAAACGTGCCACTCAGGCTTCTCCTCAGCCAGACAGATTTAAAATAACAGCAGACCAAACTAAAAGACGTATGTAAAGAATACAAGACAAACACAAAGCTGTGTTTTTACTGTATTTTCTAAACATTTTCTACTACTTGAGGCATGACTCCTAACTATGGCGTCTCGTTACATCTTCTTTTTCTACAAAGGTTTATTGTAGGGATGTCGATCAAGACAGTTCTTAACTAATCAGTACACGCAACAAGCCAAGATCGAGCCGTTGTTTACGTCTGCTGCCACACGTGTACTGCAGATCTGAATAACTTACCTCATATGTACAGCAATGTGGTAGTGCACTGATATTGCTGGTAAAGTCTCAGATATGTGACATCTGCCCCAACAGTTGTATAAGCCACTGGGTCTTAATTGATCCCAAACTGATGTATTACAAATGTACTGACTGGAAGTCATTAAGCCTCACAGAGGAGATTGTCGTGTTGCCCTTTTTTTTTTTTACCAGCTAAGCCCTCACAACACTTTCTGCTCGCCAACACGAAAGTGCGCGTCTTCTCCGGTCGCTGCTGTAGTAAACAGTAAGAAACAACGAGGTACTAAAATCTGCAATACTTGCAGTGTACATTACGTAGGAAATCCTTGTAGATTAATCAACTGGACGTGCTTGAGTTCCTTGAAGACGTTTCACCTCTCGTCCAAGAGGCTTCATCAGCTCTGACTGACTAGTTGGGAGTTCCAGATACTTACGTCCTGAACATAGATGGCTTCTTTCACTCCTCCTTTTAGTGCCCTTTGTCCTTAAGATGAAGACCATAATGTACAGATTTAGGGAGGACAGATGGTTTGAGAGAGGAGTGAAAGAAGCCATCTATGTCAAACTGGGAAGACCTTCCCTCACCAGAGGTGGAGGTCTGAGGCATCACCTCTCACCTGTTTACAATTCCTTTCCCCAGGAAGATGAAACCACATTCACACCCAGCCACAAAAGACCCTAACGAACCCCATTGTGGTAGAGGGAGTACTAACAACTTGGGGGAGGATCAACACACCCCTAATTGAAACCAAAACTCAGGTGTTAATGGCTCCTTTAGGATATAAGTATTTGGAACTCCCAACTAGTCAGTCAGAACTGATGAAGCCTCTTAGATGAGAGGTGGAACGTCTTCAAGGAACTCAAGCAAGTCCAGTTGCTACGATTAATCTACCAGAATAACCACGACCTGGATGATTGAGAATCTTCACAGACATTACGTTGGAAAATGGAATTGGCAGACAATGATGTAAAATGACTCAGATTGGATCGGGGGCGAAAATAACTGGTTAAAGACATCCCGAGTTGAATTCCTGGAAATTCAGTAGAAATTTGCAAGACTTTTTAACTGAAACATGGTTTTTGTGCCCGTGCGAGGAACAACGGATCCTACTCATCTATGTGTTGGTGACAGTAGTGGTCAAAAATTCCACAGGGTAGCTCTAACTTGCAGACATAGAGATACAATTATTTGTACCGATTTAATATACTGACTTTTTATTTGACCAGTTGGTTCCTTCTGGCTGAAAATTAGGTGTTAGTGATAAGTATTCCTTTTTTTGTTTTTTTTATGCCCCAAATCATTCCTCTACCCTAGAAAATGTTTTGAGAAAATGCAGCTTCTATTCATTTTCAAATGGTCCTGGTGATTTCAGCCCTGTTCTACATTCCAATACATCCTAAATTGGGAACAGCTGATGCAGTCGTTCTTTACTAGTGAATCCCATGTCACGGCTAACACCGCTAAGCCTGAGAAGGGCATCCTGTTGCGCACAGTGGCTGTGGCTCACGAGATGCGGTAGGCTATAAAGCCATATCCGAGTGTTTTCAAGTGCCAGGGGCCACAGTGCAAAACTAAGTCAACAAGCCCAAGTAGTTCCACTTCAGTAGACACTGCACAAGGCTTGCCTCCACCGACGCCGACAAAGGAGTTGTCTCGACACAGGGACAAGGAGAAGCACTGAACCTGCCGAACACCATCATCTTCAGGTGTGGTGCTGAAAATGTAATGCTTTTGGGGAGTTTTTCAGCCACTGGCCCAGACAACCTTGTCAAAGTAAATGACATCAGGAGATATAAGGAGTGAAATGAGATTCAGGGGAGAAAACTTAAGGCAGAAAAACCTGGCCGTAGGCAGCGTTCGACCTTCCACCAAGACAGTGTTCTCAAATATACCGCCAAAAATGGTTAGGAAATGGTTACTAGGAAACAATATAAACATTTTGGACCAGAGTCTACACCGGGATGATATCAAGAACGTGTGGACTGACGACCAAAGTGATGAGAAAGAAGACCTGGGCTGTGTTCGAAATCATCCACTCACTCCCTACTCCCTACTCACTATATAGGGATCACTGCATAGTGCACTATATAGGGAGCACCTTGGCAAAGGAACATTTCGGACACTACTCGAGCTATTAATTACGTCGCTCACTAGCTGCGATTTGTGCCGCAACAGCGTGGTACAAACACATCAAATTCACAGTTTATTGCATAGCTAAGAAATCAAATTAAATCAAGCTTGTTGTCATTTTGCTGTACATACCAGATGAGAGAGCGTTTCTTCAGGATCCAGTAACTTAAAGCAATTTAAATGAAGTGGTGTAGTATGTCCAAATCACAACCAAGCGCCGCAATTTTAGTGACGTTCACTGTCCTGATGTTAAGCAAAGTCTTCCGGCTGTAAGTTTTGCAGAATGAATGTCTGGGATAGACAAGACACTCAAAACGTTCACTCTTGCTGTCTCTGAAGGGGGCGCTGCGTCTATGCAGGTAAAGTTAAATTAACAAAAACAAACGGGAATTGTTCGCGCTCTCGTTTGTCTAGTTTCCATTTCCTTTTGCGCAATGCACAACGGTCCATATCGCTCGGTTAGTGGCCATCGGCTGTACACTACTTTTCAAGGTGCATTGTGGGATATTTTGTGTGCACTATGTAGGGTGTAACATTTGCAACTTAACATTCGGACACCCCTACAAAATGGCATGCACCCTATATAGTGCATAGGCATAAGGAGGCATAGGGAGTGATTTCGGACACAGCCCTGGAGATCATCACGAAAGAGGAGGGGTTTCGAAATCCCAGTGAAGACGATGGAAAACACTATTGTGGTGGCTAATAAAGGCTTTACCGCTGATTACTGAGAGAAGGTATGAATCATTTTGGACATATTGGGCACTTGTGAAAATGTTTGTGAAAATGTTTCCAGCCAGAAGAAACCTATTGGTCAACATTTGGCGTAAATCTTTTTGTCTGACTTTCGTTTTCGAAATTTGGGACTATCCCTTTAAATGTAGCTCATTTAAATATCATACCTAACACTAAAATCAAACTCCTTAGATTCAACAAAAACAGTTAATAAGGTTATTAGCACTTATTTCAAGAAACACAGAAGAAACCAAGCCACACTAACTCCAACCATAATCGAAAGAAATACTACGTGGAATGAAATGCTTGTTAAATTCCTTTCTGAAAGCCCGACTTTCTTACAAAAAAGCAGATCTCACGTGTCGTCTCATTTGGTAGAAACCCTACTCCTGGATGGGTGCACACGTCACTATCTTGCACATCCTCATTTCACAAGTTACAGCTGAATCTCAACTGTCTCGGCGGTTTGGAAGGCAGCTGAGATTCAGCTCCGGGAAGCTCTGAGGATAAGCTGTATGTGCCCGCAAACACGTCAGGACCTTAATATCATCATATGGCCGCACAATCCTACAGTAAAAAAAATTTTTTTTTTGAAAGAACACCGGCTTCATAATTCTATTTTTGTCAACCGGTATGTTTGTTTCTATTTCCCTGTTGTCAGACTCATGGCTGTGGAAGATGAGCTGAGAGGGGGTGCCATTCCTGATATTAAGCCTCGAATCCTCACAGACCAGGTTTGTGCCTGTGTCTACATCTTTTATCATCCCTATTCGCTAAACCAGTCATGTCCTAAAACCGTTTGCTTCATTCTTGCATCACATCCAGAGCATTTTTGCCACAAAGCCAGTGCAGGGGGGAAGGAGGGGGAAAAGTTTGCAAGCTGTCATACACGTCACCTTGCTCCCATCTTTCAAAAAGTGCATTTGTCACATCTGAAATAGCATCCCGCCATTTGCCACACATGCCCGAGGGGAGAACGAAAACAGCGCTGATCCTCTAAAAAAAAATCAAGAGCTGGATTTCTGTACAGAGGTTAATCTAGTGTGTGAAGGAATAGCAAGTCAGAATATTATTTACCACCAAAAAAGATTATTATTACACCACAGGACGCATTCATATCGAGAAAAAACCTTGACCGTGACTCACCGGCAGCGTCACGCTAATTCTTCAGGGCTCGGCTTCATGAATGCACCATGTGGGCTGGATTGTGACGCAGGTGAAGAGGCTGTGTGCCGCGTTTATGCCGAAATAACTCAGGAGAAACATTTGCTATCCTTGAAAACACGCCGTCACCTTCTTTCTTTTTGCAGCTCAAGAGCAAAAAAAAAAAAAGTTGCCTCTTGAAAAACACACACCGTTATACAGAAGTGTTTCTCCTCCGGGCCTGCTGTGACATTGAAACTGTTTTAAACACTTAAACAAACACGAATAAACGGCCGAACTGTGCAACCCAATTTAGAGGCGAGTAAAGCAGTTTTCATTATGGCTAAGCAGGATTAGCCTGCAAGCCGTCAGTTTTTGTTTTTTTTGGCTCAAATTACTGTCAGAAGTCGCCGTTATTGGATTCAAGAAGAATAAAAGTGTCGAGAAATGGGAGAGTCTCGTTGCGTTAGATTAATCCGAGAATTAGGAATTTAAAGGAATAGTTTTTTTTTGCTCTCTTGCCAAGAATTAAACAAGAGGATCATGCCAGATGGTTAGCTTAGCTTAGCGCAAAGAGTGAAAATGGGGGAAACGGCTAGTCCCGTCCAAACGGTCGGCTTTCCAGCACCTCTGAAGCTGAATAATTAACATGTTATCTGCATAAAAGCTGATGTGTGGGTTATGTGGTGGACGAACAGCTCCTGGAATCTCTGATGGTTTATTTTGCAATGGCCACCAGCTAATAGTTGGATAGATGTGAAGCCTTTGTTGCCGCAGAACCCACGTCTAACACTGAACATACAACGCTTCTGGCACAAAAACTGTTTTACCAAAGACTTAAAATGTAATAATATGTGTAATTCGTGATTCGTTAAATATGTAGTGTAGAAAATGTATAAAATCTATTATGTAAAATATATAGAGTGTGCAAAATAAAGTATTTTTCATTTCATATAGAGTGTGCAAAGTAGATTGCAGATCTAAAAATCTCAATATACACTTTTAAAACCATATGGAGCAGTCTCAGAAATATAAGCAACACTTTGATCTTATTCCTGCCCGTTAAACGCTTACACGGCAGCTAATAGGAGACAGAACCAGGCTCCAGAATATCAGCAGAGCTTTTTCTCTTCCAGTTCTCCAACATCTGCATCGTATCGGCAAGTCAGCAGCCATCAGAGCGGCTATCAGTGTTCTCATCTAACTCTCAGCAGGAAAGTGAATAACTGTGTTTTCCCCCCCAAAAAAGTGGAACTGTTGCTTTAAACGTGCACCTTCCCTGAGCTGTAGCCGGACAGGAGGAGTAACTGCGTCTGTTTTCTCTCCCTTCAGTCTATCAGCCAGGTCTATGGTGGCCACCCAGGATCCTGACTGCCAGTTCCAAAGTGACCAGAGTTCATGATGGTCACTCGCGTGTGAGAAGACTGATTCAGATGCTCCTACAAAAAAAAACAAAAAACCATCAAGACCAAGTTCTGCAGTGGATCCGGCGGACTACTGGAGGCGTCATCTCACCGCATTCTCAAAAACACTGAAAGACTTTGCACATATTTAAAAACTTAGCCTGTACCAGAACTTGACAATCAGCTTAGCGTGAGAACCGACGTGTGCGGGGAATCTTCTGCACACTGAAATATAAGCCAGTGCCACAACGATGGCAATACTGCACCTAATGAGTTTCTTTATTTAATTGGGAAGAAGAGGTAAAACACTGGGGACGAAGATGGATCCATGATTTACGGTTAAGTGGCTGCAGACAAAATGTAAAAGAAAAAAAAAAAATTTGCTTTTGACACAAGCACAATATCCCTTCAGGCCTGTGACAAGCAACAAGCGCGTTAAATCATTCGCCATCTCTGATCCTCAGATGTGGGGCCCAAGCAAAGACCTATTGTACTATTTGGCTCTGACGAAATCATCCAGCAACATATTCTCATTGCAGAGATATTTTCACTCACAAAAGGTGGTTATGATTTTTACATCCTTTCTAGTGCCGCCATCCCATCGGAAAAGATGCCAAACGAGACCTACAATCAGCTCACGACTGCTTTAAGTACAATCCGAATCCTCTGGTTCTAGCACAGTGTAGAGCCTTGACTTTCGATGTATAGACGAAGTATTTCTTAAAGCTACGAAACCTTTTTTGATAATGGAAGTACTTTAAAATTATCCGAGATTGAGAGATGTGTTTTTTTTGTTCATTTTGTAATAATAATATTAGTAATAATGATGGTAAATATCATGATGAAATATATATTTAACGTTTCAAAGCGGTGATACAAAGTGCTTCAGAGGTAACATAAAGGCCCGACGGGAAGGAAAAGGAGGATACTCTGACTATCAGTGACTTGGTCGAGTTTGGAAGATGTTTCTCATTCTAATCAGAAGACGTTGCATTGTGGGAATTGTAGGATTTAGCTTTTTTTTTTAAAGCTTAACCTGCGACTGAAAATCTGGGGAGTTTGCAGCTCTGATTTGCTGGAGTGCCACTGTTTTTTTAAGGAACATCACATTTAAATTTTTTCGTCACCAGTCGTTACGCCTTCAGAAATGTCTTAAAGGGAACTTTTAACCAGAGTGTTCCTGACAGCCCAGACACTTTTTTAATCAGTTGCAGTGAAAGCTGCAAAATCCCGCCGTTTATTCAATCGACGAAACAAAGCGGGAGCCGTTTTCGTGACAAGGCGGTCGTCAAAGTCATTCACGAAGCAAAAATAGGAAGAACTTGACGGTTCCAGCTCTTCAAATGTAAGAATTTGCTGCTTTTGTTTGTCTACGGTTGTCAGCAGACACTTGAAAGCACCACCCTGGGCTTTAGAACACTGTCATGGGTGTTTAATTAAACAGGTAATTAATTAGCAGCTAATCAGGAAAAGCAGGTTAATAATGACATGAATCGTTATTTGCAGCTCGGAGAGACGGCGTCGGTCTTGAAGGCAGCCTAAACCAGCAAAGCCTCAAAAGTAATAAGTGAACTTTTAAAAACAAAAACGTTCAGGTAAAGGTGTTTTTAGCGTTTTTATGTTAGTTTTGCTGTACAGCACTTTGTACCACTGGTTTGAAAAAAAAAAAGTGGTATATAGATCAATTTTAGTAACTTTGATTATAAACAAGATGTGCGCCTGGAAACAAATCATATTCTAGCAAGTAGTGGATTACTCATCTGTTGTGTTCAATGTTTCTGAAGCATAGGTGTGCTGCATGTGCTTTCTAAATGCAAGGACGAGTAAGTCGGATATTATACCAATGTACAAAAAGCAACAACAACTTTGACACGGCTTTCTTACTGGAAGGCGTCTTTTTTTTAATCCAACCTGCTGACTCTTCCGGGGTTTTTTTTCCAGAAGAGTTGTTCAAAAGCCTTTATACGACATGAAAGAGGGGAAAAAGAAATGGACAGAAATCACAAAAAGAAAGGAGAGACCGTGACAACAACAGAACAAAAAGGGAATAAACGAGCAGGGATATGTAGTATATGTGCATAGGATTTGACTGCCTTACACAGGGCCCTGAAATAACCAATACATTAAAAAAATATAATTAAAAAAACCCTGTAAACTTTGTATATTAAATGTCCTTTTTTTTGTAGTCAGGTGATGAATTAATAAGCAGTGTGTTGGTTAACTCTGTACGTTAGTCAGACTCATTTACATTACAGATTTCATGGTTGATATAATTTATCTTAACCTCTTGCCTTTAAAAAGACATTTTTTTCTTTCGAGATAAATATACGAACTTAAATGTTTATGTTACCAGAAATGTATAAAATAGCTTAATGTATATCTATTCTTATATGTAAAATGTACTCGAATCAAGGGTAGGCCTTCAGGCATGTTGAAGTCGTGGTTTTAAAAACTGATATTAGTCAAACTCTTAATGCTGCAATCCAGAGACTACAGTGCTATGGGGCGTTCATGGGACGAGAGCTGATTAAGTTCCCGGAATAGATAGCACATTTCTGTTCAAGATGAATGACGAATATCTCTTCTAAATAGCTCGCCTATGTTGTGTAACCAAAATAGCAGTGGTGCTTTTAACAATGCTGGATTGCAGTTTTAAGTAGTTTTTTTTTTTTTTTGGTTTATTTATTTGGCCTGCATTGCAATACAGTATTTTGAAATGTTATACTTGCACTTCGGTTTTTATTTTCCGAGAAGCTGCAATCCATAATCTACGGGGAAAAAAAAAATGTTTTTAAAGACATTTAAAAAAAGTATATAATAATATACCCATGTATTATTCTCTCTCTGTATTAGCTGCAGTGGTACAGTGTGCTACCTCTGAAATCATCTCCCTCTTCTGTTGGAGTTAAGGATCCTTATCTGCTTTATTTATTTATGACCCGAGAGGATGCTTTTATTCCATTTGGCTAGAAAACTTTTTATTTAAGAGACAATACAAACAGACGAGTTTTGCTTCAAACCAGATGGAAAAGTCAGGTTTTTGTTTTTTTGTTTGGTTGCTTGTTAATTGCTATTTTTTTGGGATTTCCTGTGGACAGCTTTTGCGATCACAGGACCATTTCTAAAGTTTGTCCTGTTTACTATTGTATTTAAGTGCCGTTACCATTACAGTCACTCGAATCTGCTTTTTTTTTTATTTATGGGATGGTTGTGTTCCAGGTATTCGTCAGACTCTCAGGAGGAACACAGAGATAACTTTTAATATCTTTAAAGCCAAATGCACAAAATACTGAAATTATAATTTTTTTGAGCATTAAAGCTAAATGCTAAATGCAACTGCTCTGTTTTTATTTCGGTCGGCTCTTGGCCCTCATCTCATCCACTTATACTTTCATTTTCTCTTTTTTATTATTTCTGATTTAACAAGACGAAACGTTTTCTGTTTTTTTGTTTTTTTTTGGTCCAATTGAAAAATGTGACAAACGTCCCACTGTAATAAAACTAGATGAGGAATATTATAGAAGATACTATAGAAGTAGAGCTTTATGTTTATAGAATTATGACATTTTATGAACCTTTGTTGACCCGCGGGGGGAATAACTGCCGCTTTGCTGCAGCTAAAGCAGGACCTAATAAAATGAAGTGATATATATATCTTGTATATTTTGAATAAGGGGTATTTAACATCAATCGATATATTTATGTTTCTAAAAAAAAAAAATGGATGTATAGCGTTTTGGAATGAAACTAAATATTTTTCTTGGCAGCTATTATTCTGCACAATTGACCTGCTGTGTCACAAATATATAGTTGGTGGGATTTCTAACTTGAATTAGGCCTACTGGATGTAATACCTTCATTTACTTGACATTTCTTTTGAAATAAGCCATGCCCCCCCATTGATAAGCCATACCCTCCGGTCCCCCTGATGTTGTGTGGTGGATGTTTAATGTTGGTAGTTTTATTTATAATGGTAGTTATTGTAGGTATGATTGCGCTTGTAATTATTATTATTAGTGTAAGTATACTTGATTGATATGATTTGTTTTTGTTTGAACAAAGGGAATGTATTCATTTTTCAGGTGATTTTTCCGAGTGATTTAAATAAATTAATAAATCTCTAATTGAGGACCTGTTATTATACTCTGTTTAAGCTGCATTTGGGTTATGTATTGTTTGGGATTCTGTTCTCAGTGATTTTTTTTTGTTGAAGATCTTCAAATTCCTCAAGGAAAAAAAAAAAAAGAAAAATCAGAAAAGATGAAATTTCACTGTGGAAATTTTTCACACGGACAGCCTGGGGTTTGTTTTCTCAGCGCTCCAGTTCAATAAAGTACAGCCGTGGATTAAAAACCCAAACAAACAGCCCCAGAACATCTTAGTCTCTCTCTGTCGTTGCGGAGGAGGTGCCAGTATTCTGTCTAAATCCAGTTCTGGTCTTAAACAGGCAACATCAAAATTAGGTTGATGAGTTTTTAAAGCTGCACTAATCGATATTCTTTATATTCACAATGTGCTCTAATGACTCTCTATAACGAGAAAAAGGAGCCAGAAAATATCATCTAAAAACACCTCAGCTCTGCTAAGCATCTTAGCATCTTTTAGCTCGCTGCTAATCAGCTTTACTGTTCTGGTTGGCTCTCATCAGCCGAAGCAGAACAACAGACAGACAAAGTTAGCAACCAGTAGACAAAATAGCACCTAAAGAGCCAGGCATTTCTCAAAGGAGTCCAAAAACAGAACCAGAAAGGAGACAGAACGTACACTTAACAAAAACCACTTCAAAATGATGCTAGTGTTTGATGTTGCCAGATGTGTAAACAGGCTAACACATTAGCATCTTTAGAAAAGGATAAAATGCTGTTGATGTGTTTTCAGCTTGTTTTGGCACCCTTACGTAGTCCAAAAAAAAAAAAAAAAAAAAGGAGAGAGAAAGGAAAACAGTTAACACCACAAAGAGAAAAGTGC